GTATATTATTGAATAAGAATTAGACATTAACAACAACAACAAAAAAAATATTTATATTTAACAACTAATGTTCATGTAAAGACATTTGATAAGAATTCATCATTTAAATGAATAGATACTTTTTTATTATCATCTATTGAACCTATAGGATCAGAATGATGTCGTCGTTGTTTTGAAAATTGACGATTTTTTCTAGGAAATATAATCCACATATGACTAAGAATACCAGCAGTAAGTACTTGAATAATCACATAAACTAATTAAAAGAAAATAAATAAAGTATGATTAGTGTGGAAGAAGAAAAGAAATTCTAAATTTACTAGTTATTATTATTGCGCATGTTGAACGAGTTTGTCCGTATAAATCAACACAAGGTGTTAAATCACCAAAACCAATAAGATGATTTGTAGTAACGGCGAAATACGTTAATTGAACAAAAGACCATTGTGGTACATATATACTATGAATAAGTAACGTTGGAATTATTATAAAAAATACAGCTATTAAAAGTGTGATAAACAAAAATGATACAATGAAGCTATAGGATTTTTTTGAGTAATAAATAACAGAACGATTAATAGCTGTTTGAAAAATAATATCGTAAAAAAATGGGATTAATCGACGATGTAATATTTGTTGAAATAATAATGCAAAGATGAAGCCAATTATTGTATAAATAATACAAAGAATTTTTCCATAAGGTGTTATTAAATTCGTAGTACCATAACCTAATAAATGAAATATTTATATTAAATAGTTAAAAATACTAGATATTATATATTTTTGTCTAGGAAGAATTTAAAAAATTAAGTAGAATATTATCGAAATTATTTCCGAAAAAGAATAATCTGTATTTCTTTTGTTTTTGTGTATTTTTTCATATACGAATAGCTTTATTTGAATACAATCTCTTATTTTTTTTTCTCTGAACTAATACTAGCAATCATTCTTCTCCTAGTATTGTTTTTACGCCCTCTTGATATCGCACCATAACCATTCATGAGAATAATACCACCTGCTATCTGGCGTGATCCATCCTATCTTTAATGTATAAAAACTAAAATTTTTCTATTCATCTACATTCATATTGTTTAGCTATTAACTGATCCTTTCAACATGAAATCCTTATCGATCATTGCTATTACCCTTTTTGCTCTTGTTGCACTGAGTTCAAGTGTTCCTGTTACCAACCAACAAACAGAAGATCAAGCTCGTTTCGATTTCTACAATGATTTCTTTGCTGGTCTTGCGTCTAATCTTGTCTCAACAGTAGCCGGTTCGTTACAAGGTCTCCTTACCACACTTATCACTGAAAATCCATTAAACGTTGGCAAACGTGATGTTGAAACTGATTTACAAGCTCGAGTTAATCCATTCACATTTCTCTATGAAAATGTTCTTCAACAATTCTTTACTGGTATTGTTACCAATGCTTTTGGCGCCGCTACTGATGGTCTCCTCAACTTGATCGAAACTAATCCATTAGGTGTTGGCAAACGCGATGTTGAATCTCGAGTTAATCCATTCACATTTCTTTACGAAAATGT